GCGCGCGTCTGTGTACGTGTGCGCGTGTGTGTGTATCTATATGTGTGCGTGTGTCTGTGTGTGCGTTTGCACGTGCACGTCTGTGTGCACGCGTGCATATATGTGCGTGTATGTGTGTGTATATATATATGTGTGTGTGTGCGCGTGTGTATACGCGCGTGTATATATAGGTGTGTGCACGCGCATGTGTGTATATATCTATATGTGCATGTGTGCGCATATATACGTGTGTTTATATGTATGTGTGTGTGTGTGTACGCGCGCGTGTGTTTTAGTTCTTAATAACTTGCGAAATAAGCAGAAATTTCTTTACTCAGTGAAACATAGGAAGTGGTTGAGGTAAATTTGATTGTATGCTTTAAAGAAAAAAAAACTTATTAAACATGATGCGCTAAAAGGCTGAGATGGGAATGATGGAAAGGGAGATGGTTAACACCATATAAACACCAGCACAAAGTTGAACAAAGTGGCTTGTATATTCTATACAATTCTAAGGTAACTTATCTTTATACCTCTATTACAACAGAGTCTTCCTTATTCTTCAAGTGTTGAAGATCTTCTAAACGTTGCTTATCTTGGTCAGACAAAACAGAAAAAATGTCCTCTGAAGGTTCCTAAAAGATTGTTAAAGATGTCACAAAGTTCAGTCATATGGAGATATTTACCCAAAGGTCACAGGAAGTTGTGGGAGGTGGAGAGCAGAGGAGGTGGTGATGGGCAGAAGGGGAGAAAAATTAAAAATGGAGTAATATTTTATTTCTTCTCCCTGGCCACCTACTACATAAAAATTATCTTCACAGCATGCATCTTCCATTTCTAACAGTGCAGGCTGCCGCCCTGCTCATAAAGCTTAACTTTCTACAATTTGTAAAAAGTGCATGGGGTCTGTCATTGAAATCTTCCTCCCATGGGAAATGTGCTGCCTTTGATTGCCACCTCTTATGGGTGTCAATGAGCAATCACTGCATGGACAACTGTGCCTCCATCAGTGCAAGAGGTAGGACACATTAGTGCCCAAACATTATTCATCAAAGATCAATATTTTACTGAGCAACCAGGATATTTAGGTATTGATTAAAAATTAGTCTATTTTTGATAAGCTATGGCTAGTATCAATAAATATCCTAGACAGACATTTAGAAATGAATTCTCAAGGAGGGGAGGAATGAAATCAATGAGTGAAAAACATGCTTGCCTCATTTTAAAACTAATATTCTTCGCCATCCTTTTGGTTTCTCCTGGACCAGTTCTGACCAAAAATTGCTGAGTTACTGAGTTAGTCAAAAAAAAAAACAGAATTCTCAGTATGTTGAAAAAAATAAAATGATTTCAATATTAAACAAATGATTATACAACACTAAGAGATTTGGCATCAAAAGGACAACTTCGTATGTAGATAATGTATCTACGCAGTTTGTGGGCTGTGCACTTTGGTGTACAATACATGCCTGAGCATACTACAGCTCCCCTTTATGAGTGGATCTCTTCTGTATCATTTCCTCCTGGCAGCCAATGTGCCGCTAAGTCCATGTCTATGCAATAAACACACAATAACAATTCCCACTTAAATTCTTCTAAATCAAACACTGCAGCTTTCAATCCAAAATTTAAAGAACTTTCCTGAAGAGAAAACTTGTTTACAGTAATTGTTCCCCATATAGTTAGATGCCATAGTTACCACTACAAATTAGTTGATATGCTGTGGTAGCTCAGTGTTGTTATTATTCAGTTACTAATCAATGTTCAGCTCTCTCTCATGAAAGTTCATTAATTTATCGGAAATGTTATTTTGCTGATCAACATCCTAGGTACAAAAAACAGAATTATTTCTTACCTCATTATTAGCTGGTACAGACAAGTCATCCAGAACAACTATCTTCCCGTCCTTGTTTATTTCATGAACAACAAAATCTGAATACCTGTTTAAGAAAAAGTAGAAGCGATTCAGGAAAGTTCCAATTCCATGCTTTAAAAAAAGTTGAACAAGGACACAACATAATTAAGGAAAGTAGACAAGGAATGTCAATATCTATGATGCATGATTCACTAATATGTTAAGTTATGTTTAAAACAATATATGAATTCAACGAGGATGCATTTACTTATACTTGGTCATACCGCAGTAGATCTGAGGCTTAACGTTGGAGTGAAAATCCACAAAGGATATTTCACTGTCCAGACTACTGCCCTTAATTTGAATTAGGTCATCAGAATTATCTGATCTCCAATATTTAAAAGCACACAGCAAAAAGAAATCTGATCCATTTAATGGTAGAACCTAGTTTGAGTTCAATTTTTTCAAGCAATAGTCTAGTTCGAATCAACAGTAAATTCTACTTAGACTTGCTGTGAATACACATTAGATAGCACTTCAAGAAATTCAGCAACCCAAAAAATAGATTATCTGTACTGAAATGCTATGGGTTTTAAACTTGAGAACACTAGGTGCCCAACCGGTTTAGCTATTCATCAAGAGATCTGGTACATCTGCATATTCTCTCCTTTATCAAAATTACCAACTATTCTCGCATCATTCTAGATGCAAATATAACCACCCGCTCCTTTTCTCTGGGCTCAATAAAGTATACAAATGTTGTAATGAACTCTTCAATTACCATTGATTTCTACTCAAAACAAAAGTCACAATTTGAACTTGCAGGGTAGTATTTTTAGCTGCAATGCTGCAGTATTTAATGGGAAAATGAAGTTTTTTTTTAGAAAATTTTATAACAACTTAATTGAGGGTATTTTAACTTAGCATGTAGTGATAGAACTATTTTAATGTATACTATTTGACTTCTATATCAGCTAATTGTTAGGCAACAGCAGCAAATATATCCGACTTACATTAAAACTAATTTAAGAAGGAAAGTAGGGATGATTTCACACAAAAGAACATGAATTTTACTGCCATTTCATTTAAATCCACTTCAATGAAACACATCTTTACCTTTCCTTTAGAATTCCTGAGAAACCTTGGTGAGTGCTGACAAACTTTGTGATTCCAACATCCTGCTCAACTAAGCCATATTTCATCATATTAGCAAAACTGTCTCCATCACCTTCTTCATCTTCCTCAAGTACAGCATTGTCTATTTCTTCCACATCTTCTTTCCCTTCTATATCAGATGAGATGGCTTGCAAACCACTTTCAAGCACTTCAGCATGCTTACCAATACCAGACTGGCCTGAAGATATACCAGGTTCTGAAAGCTTGAGCCTCTTACATTGTCCAGTTTTGGTTTGTTCTTCATCATTGAGCGCAGAACGTTTCTTGGCTAAATTATTTGCTTCCTCCACTTCCATTTTGTTCAAGACCATGTAAGCAGAACAATTTTTTTCAAAGGAAGTCCGTATATTTGTTCATGATAGACCTATACAGATACATAATAGAATATCTTTCGATAACTACAGCATCCAAAATCCTGAAGAACACAAAAATTTCAGTCAAAAATCCATCAAATATGTTCAATAACTACAAGGAGGTGGAACAAATTCCTGGCTAAAAATTTTGAAATTAGATTTTTGCTTCCTCTGAAAAGCATTCAAAATAGTAACAAGAAGTTGGAACAACAGTGTCAACAATAATAGAGTATTGAAGGAGATTAGTAATTCTTGACTGTGTATGTTTAAATAATCCCAACTTCAGATACCATAGCCCAAAGGCATTGAAACATATCAGGGTGCAGAGATAAAAGTTTAAAATCACACTTTATTGACTTTTTAAACTTCACCTGTATGTCACATTAATAGTTTTTTAAAGTCAATTTAGACCTTCTCAAAACACTATTAGGTTTTTTTGTAATGAGAAAATAGCATTCTATTACTGCCCTAGCTCATGGACAAACACATCCTAAGGGAAGAACCCTATAAGAATATCTGTACTGAGAAATAGACATGATTCTATTTCCTTCTCTGAAGCATGCCAAGGAAAGCAATTTCGAGTGATACCAGGCATTTGCACATGTGGACATCAGGAAAAGCATGTCAAGATCTGAATTAAGTTTTAAGTTGTTTGGTTCCTTCTTTTGAGACAGAATCTATTTCCAATCTCAAAAAAATGCAAATGGGCAAAAAAAATGGCAATCCAGCACAACGATTACTGTTTTTAGGATTCTAAAAGGAAGCAAATAATGCAGATTATAACAAACTGTTACACTTTATTCAGAACAGTAGGACAAGAGGGTATGGTCTGAGATTGAAGGTGGGTAAATTGGCAACTTGTTTCCCCATAACAAAATGGTCAAATTTGGCTAGCTGGCACTGTGGACACTAAAACACTTGAAATCCCTTGGCCCAGTAATCCTTTGTTGCCTTGACTATCCTGACAAAGGCTTCCTGCTTCTCATCCTGTACAGCCATTGTAAATAGGTGTTTTTAAACAAATAATTCATAAAATGAAAAATTGGGCTGTGAAAGTGTCAGTGACTTGCTCGTGTCTTCTTCTGATTCAGATTGCAAGCCCTCTATTGCACACGTAATCCAAATGTGCTTCTTCCAATTTAAACCTACATTTTCTATCTTCATCGTGACCTTCAATCCATATTTACATGCATTAAAACCAAAAAGTAATCTCAATCCAATAAACATCATAATTACACATCATTAGTAATCTGTGAACTAACACGTCTACATATTTGCTAGATGTATATCTAGCCTCTATAAAATCATGATCTCTATTTTCACAGAATGAGCTAGCATTGATGATCATGGAAAAAACTATCGCATTTAGTTCCACATCTCAGACTTTTCTGCACAACCCTGAAAATTAGTTTTTTGAACTACATGTCCAAAAATCTTTCTAGTGTTCCAACAAAACCTGATTCCACTATCATGAAAAGTATTTCTATGCAGATGATAATGACCTTTTGAGTGAAACATATTTTTGTTTTCCCCTCTAGTTCTTTTGCCACCTATTTTAAATCTACAATCATTAGCTAATGATTCAGTTTCCCACTGGCTTTATCAAACCCCTCAGTAATTTTCATTTTCTCCTATTTGGTCTCTCATTAATACTTTTCCTTACAGCAGGGAAGCTTAAAGCTTCAGTGGTCTTCTCGCATAAATGAAGTCCCTCTCCCTAGAATTATCTGGCAAATCCCCTCTGTACCCTCTCCAAGCTTTCATATCCTTCCCAAAGTATGGACTCCAGAATTTCACACAAAAGTTCAGCTTTAGCATAACTTCCTTTTGTAGCTAATGCTCCTATCCACAAAGCTGAGTCGTATTCATTTTCTTTACTGCCTTATCATCTTGCCTTCGTAACTTCACAAATTTGCGCACATGCATCCCTGGATCCCTCCACTCGAGCAACTTTCACTTACAAAATTGTCTCAATGAAAATGAATTACTTCACATTATTCGCAACAAACTGTCTACACCATGTACGTCCAATCCACCAGTCTACGTCTGTATCTTTCCAATTGTGCAAAGCTTAGCAATTATCAAAGAGTGTAATTCATAACCATCAAAACTGTACCCCACACCCAAATCCAGCTCATTTATATGTAAACAAGAAAAGCACGGTCTTCCTATGGATCCTGGTGGAAAACACTGTCGCCTTCTTTACACTGAGAAAAAACACCCATGTGTCTCCTGTTCTTTAAGAAATTACATATCCAAGTTTCTATTTATTTTTAATTTATCCATGGGATATATGCCTCGTTGACTGGTTTTGCATTATTGTCAAAACCTAGTTGCCCTTGAGGTGATGATGGAGAGTTGCTTTTTTGAATCATTGCAATCCATTTAGCTGTCATTAGGGTGGGAGTTCAGGACTCTGACCCAGTGACACTGAGGAATGGTGATATATCTCAAGGCAGGATGCTACTCTTGGCCTTCTAGATGGTTATGGTCATGTGTTTGGAAGGTACAGACTAAGGAGCTGTTTTCTCTGCAAGTGCATCTTGTAGATGTTGCACAGTCTGCTACCGAAGCTCAGTGGTGGAGGAACTGAATGTTAATGGAACAAAAACAATGTTGCTGGAAAAGCTCAGCAGGTCTGGCAGCATCTGTGGAGGAGAAA